CAGTGTTTCTAATTCACTAACCATCTTCATTCCTCTACATTTTTTTTTTGTCAATGTCTCTAATATATTTACTTTTATCATCTACCATGTAATGAATAAATTTTGAATTAGGAACTATGATGAACACTTTATATATTTCATTTTATTTAAATCCTCACTCTAATAATGTAAAATATGTTTTTTCCTAGTGAAAACACTGTGTCAAGGCCACCTAGCTCAGAGGCACGATTTGGATTCATACTGGCTCTGAATAACCACAAAGTCATGGGCAAATAAATTATCTTTTCTGTATTTCAGTTTTCTCATCAGTATAATGGGGGATTATAGTGATCCCTGCCTCCTAGGACTGAATGTGATTTGCAGATGTGATTAAGTTAAGGATCTTGAGAGGCGGAGATTATCCTGGGTTATCTGGGTAGACCCAATGTCATCAGACAGTCCTTATAAGAGGCATGCAGAAATCAGAGTCAGAGAGAAGGACGTGTGACCATAGAAACAGAGATTAGAGTGACACATTTTGAAGATGGAGGAAGGGGCCACAAGCCAAGGAATACAGGGAGCTTCTAGAATCTTGAAAAAAGTAAGGAAATGGATTCTCTTCTAAAGCCTCCAGAGAAAGCCCTGCCCTGCCAATATCTTGACTTTATGCCGGGGAAACTGATTTCAGATTTCTGTGCTACAGAACTATAACAGAGAAAAAATGTGTCTTATTTTAAGCCACAGAGTTTCTGGTAATTTTTTTTTTTTTTTTACAGTAGCCACAAGAAACTAATATAGTTGCTGTTTGACACTGTCTGAAAACTTGCATTAGAAACAACTCAGGTATAAAGAATCTGAATTACTTCTGTGATGAGTATCACACACATTGTGCTCCCAGTCAACATACAGAAAAGTACATTTTACATCCAGAAGATTCCAAGTTGCCTATGCTATTCCTAAAAGCCTTGAAAAAGAGATTTAATTGACAAAAAGCCACACTAACGACATTAGATCTGTCCTACTTTCCTTGGATATCACTGATGCTCATGACAATAAGTGTGTGGGGAAATTTTTCTCTTCTGGTACCTTTGTCATCATCCTCTGCCAAATGTCCTTCTTCTCCCATTACCTTTCGGGCCTCATTTGGATATTTCAGTGTGAGATGCTCCAGTGTCTCATTCTAGCTAGTGTCTTTCTTTTAGCCCTTCAAACTTCTGTGGCCCTTCTTTGCACATTGCAGCCTTAACTAAGGGAGTCTCTGATACTTCTTACTGCTGTTGCATTTCTTGGATGCTGCTTTTGCAAGGCTTCAATGATTTCTAGGCAGTAGAAATGTCTTTCACCAAGATCTACTTCCCCTTATTTAAATGCCATTTTCATGCCATTTTATCTTCCTGAAGTGTGGGATGAGAGTGTGCAGAAACTCTCCATTCCCTTTGGAACTTTGTCTTCCCCCTGTAGCATGCAGACCATACGTCAAATTTAAAGAGGAGAATTGTCACTGTTAAGAAAACAGAACCTCCCTCACTCCCATACTGTGCAAATTATCACAGGCTTCTATATACCTATTAATTTATCCTACATTCTTACCTTTGTACTTTGTTTTGTTTTCTTTTTCTTTTAGAGGCCACAAAAAACACTGTTTGGATGCATTAATTGAGCCTTTGTTTAACTGAAATCTCCAAATCTATTCCATGTAAATTGATGAGGAGCCTGGATATTTTCCAAATTATATCTATTTAAATTTTGAACCAAAATGAAATATTGTATATTTTTCACTTAAGGGAGTTTGGCCCATTATTCTAGCCTATCCTATTAATATTAATAGCCTAGCTTATTAATAATAATAATTTATTGAGTATCTACTATGTGTCAAGTATCGCTTGAGGTTTAAAATATTAAACTGTTATTAATATAAGAAATCATATTGTTAGAATAATAAATTATTATTAAGATAATAATAAGAATTTTATTTTTAAATGTGTGAGTTTTATTTTTCCCAACTTAGGTTTTTTCTTTCATTTTTGGATAGCATCTGTTCTATGTATTTCTCTAAGTCCTGTTAAACATGTTGAACAGAAAATGGCGAATGAAAGGCTCTGTGTCCACTATTAGCAATGTTACTTCAGTTCAGTTTCCCAAACTTGGGTTGGTTTGTCTATAAAGGGCCTTAAAAGATGAAAATCTGAGATAGGAGTGTCATTGTCAATATTTCAATAAGTGAACATTTTGGGAAAGATTAAGTTTATGTTGAATTATTAATCAGCTGTCTTTGGGAATGGCAGTTTTAGTAACTTTGAACCTAAGTAATCATTGAGTTCACATAGATTTATTTTATCAGTGGACACATTATAAGAATCTTTGTGAAATGCTTTGCTGAAATTAGTATTTACTTATTTTCTATTACAATCTTCCTAGCAGTCACCTGAGGTAGATATATCACCAATTCCTTTTTATGGAAAGAGGTATTAGTTTCCTAGGGCTGCCACAAGAAATTACCACAAACTGGGTGGCTTCAGACAGCAGAAATTTATTCTCTCATAGTTCTGGAGACCAGAATTCCAAAATTAAGTTGTTGACACGAGTGCTTCCTTATTGGGGTTTAGAAGGAAAATTCCATGCTTCTCTGTAGCACACTCTAATCTTTGCCTCCATCATCATATGGTGTTCTCCTCCTTCTGTGTCTGTGTTCCCTCTGTCCCTTCTCCCTTTCCTATAACATCAGTCATTGTTGAAATAAGGGCCTACTCTACTCTAACATGACCTCATCTTAATTTGCACCTTAATTATATCTACGAAAACCCTATTTCCAAATAAGGTCATATTTACAGGTACCAGGAGTTAGGTCTTCAACGTATTTTTTTTTGGTGGGGGGAGAGGGACACAATTTAACCCATGAAAAATAGGGACAAGGGGAAATTAGTAAAATTCCAGGAGGCACACATTCAGAATATGAGCCAAGGACTTTTGTCTTCGTACAAGACTCTCTGAACTCCAGCTCCCTATCCTAGTGAATTCCACTTTAATTTTCATGAATTCATAGACTAGCTATTTAATAACTGGCTTTACAATTTCATGGGGCCTAAAAATCAAGCTTTCTAGTTTGTGGTTGCTAAACTCTGTCTTTCCCCATTTTTAATAGGTTTTTCTTATCATTAACTTTGGTTCCTCAAATAGTTTTCTTGTTTCCAAGCTCACATAATTAGTCTGGGCCTAGACATTTTAATTTATTTAGATTGGTTTGCTGATCCCTTATTACCTACGCTCGTATATTGAACTTCAATTTCATTAATGATTGTTTTGTATATTCTAGTTTGAAGCATAATTCAGAGTTGTGTAGTTCTTTTTTCTATGTACATGTCCATTGCTCCTGGGATATAGTTGTCATAGAAAACATTAGTCTCTTTCTAGAACCATCTTCTCTTTCCAGTTCTTCTGCTATCTTCCAGCAGGCAGTTGGCAATTTAAAGTGGGACACGAATTGTCAAGTGCACAGCCATCTTTAATGTTAGTCAGTCAACCAATTAATAATCACTGAGTTCATATGATGTGCCAGGGGCTGTTCAAAATGGGGGTTCTAACAACTATAAGAAATTTTGCCCTTGAGGAGCTTGCATTCTAGTGGGTGGAAGGAATAATAAACAGGAAATTAGTGTGTGCTAATTGCAATGAAAATAATTGAGCAAAGGTGTTGTCTGTATACATGAGGAACACCTTACCCTGTTTTGAAATAATTGTTAGTATCATACTTTTGTAATGAGTTATTTTCTATCAAATATTGTTCCCTTATCATTAGAGATAACTTTATCATTAGAGATAAAGTTTATCTACTTTTTGAAGGCACATGCTCCTTTTATATATTTTGCTGTGCCTAGGACTGAACTTGTCACATTTAGCACCCAATGTATGTTTTTGCCTTATAATAAGACAGAGCATATGAATCAAATAAGAGCAGTATTGTTAGAGTTGAGCAATGTTAACTTTTTTTTCCTTTTCAGAGTCCTATCAATGTTACAGTTCTCTAGAGAAGAAATCAGAAAAGAAAAGGTTGGTATAATATCTTATAAATGCTAAAACCAGAGTTGATCTAAGAGAGTTTATTTAAAGATATAATTTACAGCATTAATTTTAAACTCCCTGGGGTTTGTGTTTGTTTATTCCAATCACTTTATATTATTATAATGTCTTATGTGGATAGAAAGAAAAAAATATTTTTCCAGATACTTTAAATAAGAATTTGGATGGTCATTAGCTAGACATTCTGTTCTTCTAGCAGCTTCCTTGTTTTACTTTCGTTGCCTTTAAGAGGTTACTTCCAGGACAGCACTGCTCTTCAGTCTGTGATAGCTCAAGTCAGAAACTGAATGTGGGAAATGCGGAATCTATTGTGGTCTATTTTTCTATGTGACAGTTGTTCCTATTTTGTGTTTATTTCTCCTTTAATGAGGATACAACTTTCATCCAGGGAGATGTATGGGTCACTTGTAAGTGCACTTAAATACACTAAGGCACTTCACCAGCTGGAAATTGTGACTTGTAGTTGAATTATTTTTGAACAGCGAATGGTTTTCCTTTTGACATATTTTAATATACTTGCACACTGAGAGCAAGAGTGGGTGAACAGAAAACAGACTGTTTTATTAACCCAGCAGTCACCTTTGAGGTTTGTACATGTCCACTTTTTTTCTTGCCTTTGTACATAATCCCAAGAGACTGGTACCTGGCTTTGCTCAGAATAACAAAGTCAGGCACAAATCTCCAAACACAATTGTTAGCTGAATGCCAACTGTTTCTTCTCATCTTTTTTTTAAACTTGAACATTAAGAATTGTATCTTCATGGGTGAACCATAACCATTAAAGAATGAGTTTGTTTTTCTATTTCAGGTGCTTCCCTTATCATTTACTAGATTTATTTTATAACATGGAATATCAAGTGATAAAAGAAAATAATTTTTTGTATGTATTTTGCAGTGCTCCCTTTTTTCAAATCCACTAATAGTGAGAAGAAAAGAAGAAAAATATGTTACAAGCTTTAACTGGACTCCAATTTCAGCTGAAAGAACAATTAGGAGAAAAGGAGAGGAGGCTGCAACTCAGCTGGGAAACCAGAGCTCAGCATACAGAGTTCCACATGCAGTTTTCATGCAAACCAGTGTTTCATAGACTTTTTCCAGTAAGACCAGAAATTTCTACAGGTCAATTACCATACTTTTCCAAGGTATATATCCATATATATATATATAGTTGTAATTTCTACATAAAGATAGTAGGTAACTACCTCTAAAAAAATCCATATATTTCAATTGTACTCAAAAGTTGAAAAAAAATAAGAATAAAAATTCACAGTAAGTGACTCATTTAACAGCATAGACATATTAGAGCAACAAAGCTTTCAAAGTACATACTTTTCTCTTTCCTGTCATCATCATTATTATCCATATCATCTTGTTAATAACACTACTTGATATTTTGGAGTGCTTTAAACTTTACAAAGGAAATTTATATCATCTGTTTGGCTATTGAAACCAATCAGTGAAGTGTGCCATATGAAGATTATTAATAGTTATACATTTTTTAAAAGCATGCCAAGACTTATAAAACACAGAAAACTGGTGTGGTATATAGGAAGGACATGTTCTTTAAGTTAGAATTCTGAGTCTGCTTTGCTGGCTCTATGATATTGGGCCTTATAAAGCATTCCTTTGTTGAGTTATTCAGTACAAAAGATAAGAGTTGTGCCAAAGAGTGGTTATGAAGTTTGAAGATTACTTTTTGTACAGGATCTATCACAGTGTGTGTAGGTAGCAAACATATTTTAGATGGAATTTTTGTACTGAGACAGGGAGTTAGGGTAGAAATCTTTGAGGGCAAACTCTGTAAGGACATGATCCTACGGTTAGTGACTTATTCCAGGTAGCACACCTAGTAAGTGGCAGAAGCAAGATATGAACTCATGTGTTATGCTCTCAATACTCTTCTAGGTTTCAGTTTAACTTAAATACTACAGTTCAGCACCTGTTTTTGACCAAATTCTTGAGCTATACATGTAGGGTCCAAATATGGAAAAGAGAGAATTTTTCTATGAAAGTTTTATAATGTAGAAGGGGAAAGAAATAAATACAATGAAAGAACAATATGGTGGATAGTATTGTACGTGGGTTTGATGATGTAAAGGAAGGCTTTATTATGGTGGGGGCGTTTGATTTGGTCCTAAAAGTATTGCTACATCCATTCTCGGGAAATAGCTATAACACTTGTACTTGCTTTAGCTTTCATATTATACTTATTCTTAAAAAATAAGATTATTCCATTAACCTCTAGTAAGCTTTCAATAAATAACAATTTTATTTATTGTAAGTTAAGCTTTCAAAAAATCATTGCTTCTTAAGGTAATCAGTATGTTTTGCTTATAATTATTTCTGACTTTATTACATTTTTCATTCTAGTCTTTGCAGTTATCTTTTCCAAGATATGTTTAAGCAAGTAGGCTTTTAGTGGAAAATCATCTAAGATACTGAGTTCTATAATCTTTGTCTTCTTAGGATCCTCCTCATTATCCTCACATACTCATTATCAAAACAACACATTTTTAGCACTTATTAAGCAAGTGCTGTGGGGAAGGAATCATTCTAAGCATTTTATTTATATACATTATTCTAATTTTTCAGTAATGCAGTACAGTAGCTGTAAGCCCCATTTTGCAGTGAACTAAGGCTCAGAGATTTTAAGAAATTATCTCAAAATTGCGTAACTAGCAAAAGTGTTATTGTTCTTTGATTATGACAATGCTGGAATTTATCCGCCTTGTTGGGTTTTGCCACTTTCTCACTAGCTTTATTATTGAGAACTCTGGTGATTACCAGTAAGAATACCCAGTTTGAAGTAGATTAAGCCACAGAGAGAATTTGTTGGCTGCTATTATGAGAAAGGAGAGCTGATATCAAGGGTGACTGGAACCAGAACTTCAAATGCTAAGAATGTCTCTATGTCTCATCTGTGCTTCTCTCTGTATACTGCCTTTGTTCTCCAACCAGTTGTTCCTTGCAGCAAACTGTGTAGGCGTCAGTCCCTCTAGGCTCACATCCTCACAGCTTGCCCTCGAGGTAAATGGGGACTTCCATTATTCAGCTCCAGTGTGAAATATTCCAGGGAAGATTTGCTGGGATCCTACGTCCACCCCATGGCCTGGTCATTATGACCAAGATGGTGGGTGCTATTCTCAGTTTTTATTGGTCAAGTGTTCACTTTCATGGCTTAGGGACAGACGGAGGGGATGATCTGTTTTCAGAATTGGAAGGGAAAGGGAATTGTACAGACATGGCCTCCCAGAAATTTCCATGAGCCAGGCAGTTATCTCAGTTTGTGGCTATTGACACTGGTCATTATGAGACCTGTTTTCACTGCCTTAGTAAAGTCTCCACCATTTAACACCCTAGGTGATTTTATCTCTTCAATCACCATCTGCAGGATGGAGGGGTTTAGGCTACTTTTGTCCATTAAGCCAAATTCTGTCGTTTGGTTGGAACATTTGAAGTTGATTTGACCCAGATATATTCTCTAAATCTTAAACTTTTGTATTTATCTAAGGTAGAAAATTCTGTTTCTGATGGTGAACAGGATCAGCCTATAAAATTAAAAGAAATAAAGATTCATATGTGATGAATAGTTTTCAGACTCTGTAGAAGGGATATGTGGACAGACACAAAGTGTGCACTTGGTCAGCCCTGTCTTTGGTTAGCATGTGCCAGGATTTCAGAGCCTGATCAAAACTGTGGGATGTGATAAGAATTAAATTTCTGGGTTTAAAAGCTGAGGACCAGATTCCTGGCTGCAGTGAATTTATGACAGTACTGCCCACTTTGAAACTCTGTTTGAAGTCAACAGACAGCTCACACTTGTGACTTTTCAAGTGTTGAGGCACAGTGCTGGAAATGTTCTAAGCCTTACAGACTCTTACTGCAATAGGTGCATTTTAAATGCTATGACACTTCTTGATTAACACATTGTAATGTGTTTCAATAAACATTTACTAATTTATTTTAAGGAAAGAAATTAAGCTGTTTTAGAATATATTTAATAGAGGTGTTCTTTATTCAACAGAACATTTCTTTCTAAGCACATATCATGTGCCAGCCTTGTGTTGAATGTAAATAGAGTTCCTCTATGTGGAAAGCTCTATCTTCTTGGAGTGTCTAATTTAATTTTTTTGATAATGTGGGGAGAGGTGGAAAATTATGACAAAAATGCAGTCCTTTTGTTTCCTATAATTTCAAACTTTTTTTCTTGAATTCCCCATCACCCTCTCAACAAATTTTAGTAGGGAATAGAGGGTGGCAAGAAATGGGGAGAAGGAGTTGGCTAATTGGAGAGAGGATAATGGGATAAAACTTTAACTTTCTAGTTAAATGTCCCAAAGACTTTCAGTTTAAAGTGGTTGCTTTAAAGTTAAATCTGTCTCTTTTTGGTGAACACTCAGACTTTCGTGGATATGAAGCAAAGCTCACATGTCCTTATGTCCTCTGACCTGGATGGGTACCTGCGAGCTGCTTCTTGCTCTTCCTGGCCACAGGGATTTCTGCCAGCTACCACTGCTAATCTGTGGCTAAGGAGATTCACAGAGTATTATCTTGGCAGCGTCAGCGGTCAATGCCAATGGACTGGGGGCCCCAACCACAGAGCCCAGGCTGAACTCTGATCTTTGCTACCCTCTATCCACTGGGAGCCTGAAGGAATATTTGTCAAGTCACCGCTTGTGATATACTGAGGTCACTCAATGCTGTCAGAATTGTAAAGGGGAAAAGGGACAAAAGCTCTTCTTGTTTATGTTTCTTCCTCTCTCTACTGGGATTTTGTTCTTTTGAAAACTCTCCACTGCGTACATATTAATGGTTTGTCCCAGAGTAGGGAATCAGGACCTGGATGTCTGTCATCTGGTCTCACTTTGACCTCATTCTATAATTTTTTTTTGGAGGAAGCATATTACTTCTCCTTGGTCTGCTAGGAACTCCCTACATCTTCCTTTTTCTAGCATTGGCGTTCACCTTTACTTTTCTGTGGGGTCATAAAGCTGGAGGGCTGCAGGGAATGGAATTGGGATACAGAAAAGGAAAAATACTGAGAGATCTAATTAAGGATATTAACCCTGATACAGAGGTAAAACTCATCAAATAAGAGAAGGCAGTAGAAAAAAAAAAATAATCACAGATTCAGTTGTTACGTCTTCCATGCTTGGATCTCATTTTCTATTAATAGTTGTACTTTGGGTGTTCTAAATTTATTAAATAACCTGTAGGGTTTCGTCATCTCTTCCAGATATGTCTCATTTACATTTATGCTGAGCGCCCTTATGAAGTCTTCTAATTCAAAGATCTCTTAAAACCATAGATTTTTATAAAACTTGGACCAAAAGAAAAAAAAAAGGAATTTATATCAGGTGACCTGTATAGTGTACCTTACATAGTTTGAAAGTCCCTCTCTCTGCCTCTAGAGTTGATAAAAGTGATAGAACTTAGAGAAACTGTAAAGCTGAAAAAGTGACAACTATGCATTATCTGGAAAAAAAATTTTTTCCTGATCAGAATGAAGACATTTTCCCCCTGAAGTTTCCTTTTGTTATAAATATGAGGAATGCATGGTTCAGACCTGAGCAAATGTAGTTATTACTTTTTGATAGTAAGTAATGGATGGGCTGAAATGGTAGCTGTGCTTATGCTAAGTTCCTCCAATTTATAATCAACACCATAATCAAGAAGCCTAAAGAAGTCACCTAATCCCCATTGTGTTGTCTGAATAACATATATTATATACCTGAGACTCATAGCATCTAATACCCTGTGAAATAGCTTTATAGCCCAAGAGCTTACTTACTAATGGAGGAAAATGGCTCACAGAAACTGAGTGGAATTAGAGTGGGAGTCACCTGTTCTGTTAGTGTCCTCAAGTATAAGGTAGTCTGGCACTGTAATTCTTATTAATCAATACCTGTGTCTCAGGGTCTGTCTTGATTTTAGGTAATGAAACAGAGAGAATTATACAACCTTCTGGGTAATATATTGCAGCATCCAGAGGAGTTAGAATGTTAATGTTCTCCCACTTCTTCACTATTATTGACCTGTAATTTTATTGTAATTTCCTTTTACTTATCTTGAAACATAGAAAATTGGTTACCTGTAACTCATAATCATCTTCCGTAAATGTAGACTGTTGTCCATTTTCAGC